AGATATTAGACTACAAAGGGGTGTGGCAGTAGGGTTCAGACGGTCATTGTAAGGGTAAAGACCCAATCCTTCAGCTGTAGTTGCGGCAAGGAGCTGTTACAAGTTCTCAGCATCTTGGCTGGAACTCTCTCTTCAGTCACGCGAAATTCGTGCTTATTTCACAACGCATTACTGTGGCTCTTACATACATACATTGTTGAAATTACTGGTTATTATATTGTTGAGGTAACATCGTTATCACCATTCAGAATATATTTCAAATATAATTTCTTAGTGACGTTTAATTTTCATTCCTAAAATTTTCCAAGATATTTCCCCATCAAAAATATGTACGTATTTCTTGTCTCTCTCCTAGCCACATTCTCAGCTCATCGTAACCTACTATACTACAATATACATAATCAATTACACTATAGCAGATATTTCATGGCTGTGTTTATGTATTGAACTATATGTGTGTATTATATCGTTCTTACGTCGTTGTAGTTGTCACATATTTACACATGCAGCAGCTAGGCCGGCTCAAGGATTATGACGTCATTAAGTCACTGTTTTAACAGAGAAACGGAATGAATAAGCAAAGGAGGACAACGAGTGAAGAATGAAGATACAAAAGAAGTGGTTCTCAGTTGAATTGCTGCGGACGTTTCTGATATTCAATAATTCTAATTCTGTTAAATGGTCTATATAAATCGCCAAGTTCCTCATTACATAACGCCCAGTATAGTCAACTTCTTTCCTCTTTGATTAGAATAACCTCCTGAACACTTCGTTTTCAGACAGTTGCAATTCATATTGTCCCCTGAAAGCAAGAAGCCACGTTTAACAAGTCTAAAAACCAACTAGTATAATTATTGTTCTCTACTTTCAGATGCAGCATTTTGAAAAGTAGGATTGGATTCAGCATGTTCACAATTAATTATTAAGTTCCTCTTCCAGAGCTACAACTAAACTATTAATGCAACAAATTTCACTTCATCATATTCTTTTCACAACTTCGATTCCATTCAAATATAAATAAATCAAAAGTTATCTCTCGCTGATTTATTAAAGGAGCTCACGTCAGACAAGTATTACAGCTGCGGCAGGAAAACCAGGCACATAATGCTTTAATCACTTATTCTTCATGGCACTACGGCAACAGCTGGCATTTCTCAACTGCATGCCTGAGCATTTGCAGTCTCAGTCCTGAGAACAGATTTCAGACGACACCAGCTAACGTCTTTGTACTGATATGTCAAATCAACCACCCTTTACGAAACTGCATACCAAGGCTTCCAAATTCTTTGCAGGTGTCACCAATCACGGCACGAAATGAGGAGAGCATATGGGCTTACATGCTTTTCCACTCAGGCCATAAAGAAATCCAAGCACTTGACAATTATTTCGTCTGTGACTCCTGAATATGACAAATTTCCACATAAACAAACAGCAAAACAGAAAAGACATTTAAGAATTGTGGTATTTAGTAAGATTCTGATTGCTTCCACGTCTCTGTTTCCGTTCCTCTGAATAATTACAATAATTTAAAATGGAAAGCATTTTCAAAAGAGAATTTGCGTTTGTGATTCCCATTAAAGGTTGTCGTGACGTCACTCACGAAAGATTAGCATTGTCACAGCAATCACTGTGACACTAAACACAGCCGTCACTTAATAACACGTAATAATTGTATTCTAAAGATTCTGAACTTGCTTCACGATTCAGTGGCATTTCTACAAACTGCCGAAAGGAACGAAATCACGGACGTACATTTATGAGACTGCCTGACCTAAGGAAACAGAAGGTATGTTTTGATGAAGTCTCATTGAGATTATTTCATTATGCTCAAGTGTGAGATGTGAAGGCCCTGTATAAACTTCGCGTATTAATGCCACCTGAAATTAATTTAATTAGATTAATACTAAGAACAGGACGTCAGCAAGTTAATATTATATTTACAGAAATTTTAAAGATGAAATTCGGAAAATGCTTCTCTTGTAATCTTCTATCATCCCGTATCCTATGTGTGATCCTAAAAACAGGCCTTATATAAAAATCACAATCTCTCCCACAGTGAGAGCGCAGAGGAGGTTTTACCTAATGGGGATGAACGAGTAAGGGCATAAGGAATATTGCATATTTACTGGAGAACACCATAAATTTTACTCTTCATCAAATATAAATTGGGAGATCAAATCAGGAAGGATGGGATACTTAAGGCGTGATAAGGGGGGACTAATAAGTCTACGCAGATTAAAGATCACCAGAAATTGTAACCGCTGTTTCTAGCCTTCGTTCTTTAAATGTAATTAAAGGTTTAAATAATTTTATTGATAAATGCAACAAATTATAATAGCTTCTATCACTTTTAGCAATAAAACTGATTTGGGTACATGAAAATGGAATGAGAGTTAGTGTGATGTTTCTTTCAGTTGATTTTCACATTTACTAAGCCCCTCAGAACCAATCCCGAAAGTACTCTTATATATGTAGAGGGTTGCTGAGCCAACCACAAACGTAACCTCATCCAATTTGTTCTAGATATTTTCTTAACACTAATGTTAAATAGATTTGTGCCCCATTTTTGTCCTAAGCAGAGAACTAAACTAAAGAGCTGTACAAATCTTTTGTCCAGTCAAAATCGAAAAATAATAAAAAGAAAGTTGTGAAATCTAGAATACTGAAAAAAGAAACTTCCTTTCTCAAGGTTTTGTCAATGCCTGAAAAATGTGTGGATGGAAGGTTTAGATACGGAAGAGCTGGTTAACATATTGCTGTCGTTTTTTTCATTACTATATCACTAGAAGAGTTACGCAGTCCTTTCCTTTCATATTCTGTCAAAATTTATAAAATATCTAAAGTGATTTAATATTTTTTAAATATATGCCACTGAACTTTTGTGGAGTACAATAAGAATTTAGGATTACAGGATGTGGGAAAAAGGAATAAATCCAGCAGAAAAATGTATAAGAGATATTTCGAAAAGCCGCGAGAAAATGCGAGAAATATTCAACAGCAAATTAGGAGTCAAGTGAAATTCGAGATAATTTTATCCAGCACGAAAAAGCTGGTATCCTAACATTTCAGAGTTCGGTTAAATGTCTGGTCTCTGTTCAATTCAGTTCCTCTAGAAGATAAACTGGTTTCATTACGAAATACGAACGGGACACAAGACTCTCGCCACAGCAAACTAATTAAGAACCTACAACATATATCTACAGGCCGACAGGCAAGAATTTTTGTATGAGTTTGTCTTCTGTGTGTGAATTTAAACTAGGCCAAAACTGGAAGACATTCGATAAAATTCAGTTAAATGTTCACGCTTCTGAAATCCTTTAAGAAGAAAATTATGCATTTAATCTTGTCACGAATGTACTGAGGTTTCATTCCCAGGCATACTGCAGGAAAACATCACGTTTTCGGCAATACTTTTAACCTGAATTATGTTCTCATTAAAGAAATGTAGTTAAATTTGTTGCGTGGTTTATATCACAGAGTAGGGGCTTGTATAAATTTGTTTCAATAATTACAGAGACGATGTATTCCACTTCTATGCCTGGTAAAGAGTATAAAAACTATGGGACATCTTGATAACAATATTAGCTGCATCTTAGCACTGTGACAGTAACGAGAACCTCTACACCAGCATGAAGGTAAGACTTTGCCGTGACTCGTTCGGGAGATGTGGCATGATGTACTAAGGAGTATGAATATCATTGTTAGATTTGCGTAAATGATAATAACCCAATACACACATTTATTAGCAAATCTAATGTGTGACGAATTTACTCCCTGACTTCAGTAATTAATTCTCTAAACAAGGACAATGCAATTTCAGAATGCGCAGGTTAAAAAGCAGCGGTCTACGAACATACCTCATAGCCGGATGCGTCTAGTATTGCCGGACAGCCTCGTGAGAATTCTGCAGTTAGCAGGTTCTTAAACAACTACTAATAATTCACAAATACTTATCATATTTTTATTGCTATTGGGGTGGGATTAAGTCCCTTGTACTGCGGCTACTTCTGGCCTACTGTATCAGCCACAGATGATAGGTGAGGGTGATTGTGGAGCAATTGGTGGAATGAACATTGGTATGGGAAACCTAAGTACTCGGAGAAAACCTGCCCCAGCGCCACTATGTCCACCACAAATCCCACTTGACCAGACCCGGGATTGAACCAGGGCCGCCGCGGTGGGAAGCCAGCGACTAACCACATGAGCCATGGCGCGGCCACATTGAGCACTAAATGGAGTTGTTATCTAGAGTTGGACTAAGAATTCTGGCAAAAGTGGACAAGGAAATACCGACTGCAGCATGCTTTCCATTGCCGCTTATGGCTATTATTTTCAGCTCCTATTCGTAACATGCATAATGACAGAACAGAAATCGTTAGCCTTTATGTAAGAAATGATTCCGTCACGATATCCTAAATCCCGCCGGAGATCTTCAGGCGTTTAAATATATGAAAATAACTTAAGGTGGAAACGATCCCATTCGACTTCCTCATGTACAGTTGTGGGCGTAGTAAGTACTTCAAATAATAAAAATATGTGTTCGGGAAAACTAGACTTGAATTTGCGTCGAACTGTACGCATTTATTTCTTAAATGTTCCTTTTTCGATAAGAGCCCTTAGGTCTGTTCTACACAGCATATGAGAGATTTAGTTGACATATGTACAGGTAGGTAGCGCAGTCGTCATAGCGACGTAGAGTAATAATAGGAAGGGGATAACACTGGTTTACAGACGGGACACATCCCACGTTACAAAACAAGCACATGTGGTGGTTTCGGTATACTTGGCACATTCCTACTAACAGTCAATTCATACCAGTAAATCTTCTGAGTCATTACTTACGTAAACTAAGTTTATGGTCAACCTATAGTCCCATTGCTAATATCCAGAGGAAATAGAGAATAAACTGATGTCATAAAGAAAAACAGTAGGAATACGGCATCAAATAATCTACGACAGTGACATCTTCAGCGTCTCAAAATGCATATGATTCGTTTCAGGCATCATTTGTTCCCTTTCTTGCTGCCTTCATCAGTGTCTCTCTCGCCCAGGATTACTTGCCGCCTTCGCAAGGAGGCGAGAGAGGAGGGTCTCGGGGTGGCAGATACGGACCGCCTTCAAATGATGGTCCTTCTGTGAGTTTCTTTACTAATAAATCTTTGTGTCATAATGCAGTCTCAAGAACGAAAAGAACAGTTGTTAATGAAAATGAAACATTTCAAAGCAGGTGAACTGAAGAGTGTTTCTTTATTTATGTTAAAGACAAACATGTTTTACTTTCCATGTAAAAATATATTCTCCGTGAGGAGTCGGATTAGAACACATCTACCGTAGCCTTGCGAGTCGTGGAGGGCGACGAAAAGTATAACTGGGGGCTTAACTAGGCCACCCTGTCATGGGGTACATAAATTCAGGGACCTGGTCCCTTACGTTTTGTGTTGGAATCAAGGGTGACGGTTCTTGTTTATCATATTCCCTTTTCTTCTTTTTATGCAATCTTTTTCCTTTTCTTCTCGCTTCACGGTATTCTTCCACGGCCCCTCGAGTATGGTTCCTTTGCTGCATTCTCTTATATGCCTGGTTTTTTCATTTGTCACTTGCTCACACTCTCCATCAAACCAATTCTTATACTTTATCCTTTCCACTCTTCCTAAGACTGCACCAGCAGCATTTATAGTAACATCTCTGAGGTCCCTCCAGGCTTCACTGACATCCTCACTATCAGAGAGACCTACCAGGCATTCTGTAACTAATCCAGTATATCTGGTTGCAATCCCTTGTTCCACCAATTTTCCACAATTCATTTTCTTTGCCTGGGATCCATGTATCTTCCTTGCATTAGATATTCGACTTCTAATCTTTGATATCATTAAGTAATGATCAGAGTCAATGTTGGCTCCCCTGTAGCTCCTGACATCCATCAAGTCTGAACAATGTCTTACATCTATTAGGATGTGATCAATTTGATTAAACACATTTCCATCACGGATTTCCAGGTTCGTTTATGTATATCCTTATGATTAAATATTTTACTACCTATTACCATGTTTCTTGAGGAAGCAAAATTTATTAATCTCATCCCATTATCGTTTGACTCTTTATCTATATACCGATCTATATACATCTTCATTCCCCACTTTAGCATTAATGTCCCCTATGATTATTTTACAATCCCTTTTTGTACATTCGCCATATATTTCATCCAGTTCATCATAAAAGGAGTCTTTCTCCTCATCACTTTTATCTTCAGTTGGGGCATGCATACAAATAAGGCTATAGTTAAAAAACTTTCCCTTAATTCGTAGCCTACATGTTCTGTGAGATTTTGCCTGGAAATCTAAACTAAGATTCTTCTTCTTTTTTTTATTAACAATAAAACCTTTTCCAAACACGTGACTCTTTTTCTGACAGCTACAGAGTACAACATGATCCATCTTTTCCGTGACTCCTTTACCCAACCACCTCATTTCTTGTATAGCAGTGATATCTAGTTTATAGCTATCTAGTTGATCAAGTAGCATTTTTAGTGCTCCGGCTCTGTAAAGAGATAATACATTCCAAGATCCAATTCTCAAATCCTTTATAAACATTTTCCAGGTCGTCTTTAATAGGTCCGTCCGGCTACTCTTTCATACGATTTCTGAACAATTTAGTTTTTACGGTGTGAGATTATTAGTCTCACGCCCAACCCCCAACCTGGAGGATCAGGGCATCCCTCTCTGTCCGGCTCCTACCCCTGACCTCTCCTGCATGGGTGGCCCTACCAGTAGCTACGCTACTGCCGGCATAGCTCTCAGGGTCTCAGGAGCTCTCAAACCCCACCACTACAATAAGGTGGAGATACCATTGTTGGGGACTTTTCTAAACAATCCTCCTCGATATGTGACGATCTCTTTCTGTCAATGGTGAATTTCGCCTACTGTTCCTCTTCGCTGATGTCTTCTCATGATTCGTGTATGCCGACATAACCTCCGAAACTGTCGCTCTCGATACACCTAATAATGTGGCAGTTTTTATCACAGATGTTTCAGTTAAACTCGCACAAATAATCTGCTCTCTTTCAAAATCGGACAAGTCTCCCATTTTCCGATTCATTCACACGGACCCTCACTCAACAAAATCAATAATGCACTAACACGAGCACTACAGAGTGTAAACATAGTGAAGAAAAGCATTCAGTGTTGCCAACTAAAGTTCTGTCAACGTAGCCAACACAGAAATTTCTATTCTACAGTTTCTAATATTTCCATTATTTGGTCAGTCACTTGTATATTTTGGATCGCCTTGGCTTAAATCTTGCCATAAGAACCTGCTACTCTGAATTAGGCCTTTTCATTTCCTCCAGGAAAATGAAGGTGTACATTAAAACAGACTATGCAAACGTGCTTTCACATACATCCGGAATCTCAATGCATTATCAACATATCTCACATGGCGCTAACAAATATCTGCTTCTGATACCAAGTTGTAGCGAATAACCAGTCCAACTGGACACAAAATAAGACCAATAAACCTATAGACTCATTATATAAGCCATCAGAAATAAACTCAATAGATACTGAATTATTTGATACAGTGTCATTGAACAATATAGATTTAGTTCAGGGCCATAAATAATTTACGGGTTAATAAACCTGGCTTTATTTTTGGTTTACTTAACAAAGCTTTCGATAGCTCCGTCTCTGAATAAACAGTGTCTAACAGCAGAATGTGTGAGTGATAAAAAAATCCGAATAAATGTCGAAGGAAGAGGCATGGCCTGATATCTGATTTCATTTCTTCATTTACCACGAGAATTTGAGGAAAGACACGAAAAATTCTAACGTGATAGCCAGAGTTTAGGCCGAGAATTGAGAACAACTCCCAAATACGGAGCAAGAGTGTTTCCCATTTGGCCTCAGCATTTGGTGGACACAATAAATTGGTGATCAATAAACAGAGCTAAATAAGTAAATCGTGCTTTAAACAGTGTCATTAAAAAACCTAATAATCAATATAAAAACATCCTTTCTCAAAACCCGTGTCTTACATTACAGGAACCAGCTAATTATGAGTTCTCATACGAAGTCCACGACACACCCTCAGGTAATGACTTCGGCCACAAGGAAAGTCGTCAAGGTGATGTCGCCACAGGTAGATACCATGTTATGCTGCCAGATGGCCGGATGCAGATCGTCGACTACACGGCCGATAACGATGGGTATAAACCTAATATCAAGTACGAGGGTATTGCCAGCGGTTCTGGGGGTTACAACTACCCTGCTGCTGGCGGATATAACTACTGAACCGGAAACTACACATTACACAGGACGGAAGAGTGCGAACTGCGTAGCCATGCACCACCTCCTGACCGTTTAACTCAGCAACTGGAAGAGCATGACAAGGATACCACCACTCCGGTACATTTCAAATGTATTTTAGCCAAAGCAATGAGTATCATATCACGAAATCTGCCTGTTGATGACCCAGCTGGATCGAAATATGTAGCAGATACAGAGTAATAAATAACTATTAATACATTAACATTTCTTTATTTATTTGGTATTTGTTATATTGACGGGCATAATAATACTCTGCAGTGATACACAGTATGATGCATATAATAATGATAGGCCTTCTAAGCCACAAAATTACTTGAAGTTCGAACCTCCCTCTTCGTAACTCTAAGTCCTATTGCAATATTTTTCATTTAAAAATCTCATTTTTCTGGTTTAGTTATGCAGCCTACAGTACTACACGACGCATAGAACTGTACCATTTTATATTCATTGAATAAAATTGTGGCATCTGAACCACATTTTACACTTTAATGCTTTACTATTACATCTAAGCTGAGTGGCATTGCACTAATATGTAAATGACTGACACACAAAATAAATACACCACACACACACACACATACACACACACATACGTATACTCGTATATACAGATTAGTCAAAGGAGCATTTACAGTGAGGCTGAAACCTGCTGTAAATGTTTAACGTATAGTACATCTATACAACAATTTTGTTGATGGAAATAACAATAAATTATCCAGCGAAATTCTAAATTAGAACGGGGTGGCTCAATTATTCAACGGGGAGAATATATTGTAATTAATCTGAATAGGGTGTGTACTGTAACTTGAAGAAAAAGGACGTGAAATATGGTCCAATTATTGTTGAAATGAACGGTTTCTGCAATACCAATTTATTTCAGAAGTAAATTAGAGAACTATAGATATTATATTTAAGCATCCTGTTGCACTATACACTTCTATATATAATAATACAAATGCCGTCGTGAATGCAACAATTTATTTGGTTGTAGTTCTTTGTCTTTTCTTCCGCTACACTACATGTTTCGGCCGTAACAGGCCATCATCAGGTGTATTTTTCACTACGTAGCTGTCACACTGCACACTCCAAAATCTAAAACACCAACCTGTCAATTTTGTTTAAAATCTCGCCAACATACGCTCGTCAATTTGATTTTAGAATTCCAGTTTAAAATGTAAACATTTTTTTAAATTTAAAATTCAAAATTTAAAGTTTTAAATCACAGGGATACCTACTCTGTATCTACATGTGCTGCAGCGGCTACTTCTTGTTTCCAGCACCGTTCATGTATTATCTGTAGTACAAAAATATTCGTATTACTATCCTATATTCCTACGTTATTCTTATATGTTTCATGCTGTTGTCTGGACTTACTTTGTGCAGGCTGCCTGTGTGTGTGTGTCGCTGCTCTTCATTAATACTTTTGCCGTCTGGTGTGTTGTGTGCTGTGGTTTTATGTTGCTGAGTGTAGGAATTTTAAATTTTTTTTTAATTTTAAACTGGAATTCTAAAATCAAATTGACGAGCGTATGTTGGCGAGATTTTAAACAAAACTGACAAAGGTAATGTTTTAGATTTTGGGGTGTGCATGTGTGACAGCTACGTAGTGAAAAATTTAGTTAAACATGTGTGATATAATATTGTCTAATTGACAATTAATCTATTGACTAACAATAACGGGTTCTGGATTGGATGATTGAATTTATTGACAGACACCTTCCTGTACAGACTCCCTTAATCCCAACCAATTACAACAATGCAAAATAAATGACTGCTCCATTCTCCTTCTCAGTCTCTTCATTCTTCTGAACTGAACTGCCAGCTTTGGAAATCGACTCTCTTATAACAATTTGCACGGACCCCACGGAAAACAACCTGTATTTTTTACAAAGCCTGTTTGCCACACCGTTGCCTAGGAATATATATCCTACTGTTCCTCGCGTTTGTTTCTCCGAGAATGTGTACAGCAGTCCGTTGCCTAACAATGGTCATGGCGCGGACCACATAGAAAATACTTCTTGTAACACCTATTGTTGCTTGTGCGTATTTAGGGCTCTGCCTAGAAATGGGTCTACATGTCACAATATAATGTCATTTTAAAACCTGAATTGACAATAAATAACAATAATTCAGTCTTTGCCCCTTGCATTACTCTTAAGCTACATGTCTTCTAAGGTATTAAAATATATTAGAATCAAGTTATGAAGGATTCTGAAAATAATGTGTAACACACGGTCCGTCGTCCGGTATTCTAAGTAACACTAAAGAACACAACGTTCCGGAATCTGTATCTCTTTCCGTCCTCAGATGATAGGGTGGGAGACACCTACTCTGTTTCGTCCGGTAGAAAGATCACATCAGTCAATGGAAGCAGATCAAGTCTCCGAAACTTTGTATTATTTAATTTTGTTAGAATAGCAGACAATGGGCAAAGTCTAAAGACCCAGTAATTCCGGGCATATAAATATTTACGCAATAAAGTGGTGCTGTAATGGACTGTCAGAAGAAAAAATCTACTGTCAACCTGAACATATATATTCAAATAAATTAATTTAAAAAAATTAAACAGTTTCATCTTTATGTACAGTTTATTTTAAGATAATTCGGACAAAGGACATGCACTCTTGCCAATACTTAAAAAAAATCCAGTTTTCCATCCTCATAACACGAATATCTATTTTATTTCGTATTTAAATCAGAACCATTCGCCCCCTAAACACTTTTACGTATGACTTAAGATACCTTCATGACCCATAATGTTCAGTTTCTTGCAATCGCTCTTTAATTCATTATTTAAGCCCATGGCGATATTGTCTGCGATGTGGTCATTGAATAATATGGCTATGATGCGTGCCTGTTCGAAATGCAGTGTAGAACACAAGCCTCAAACGAGGTATTCATGTTTGCCAACTGCTTCAAGCAAGAGCAGATGGGTCAACCTAATTAGCAGGTTATTGTCCACTAGTCAGCCGTGAAGATCATATGCTGAAAGCGTACAGTATGACTAATATCTGTTTGTAACGAATACTTTTGTATGGATACTAATATAACTGTCAGTACACTTCTGAATTATAAATTTGACATCATAGAAAGAATAAGAGTGACGGAAGAAGACAGGGACGTGTGAGAAAGTCACCCTATTCATCAAGAGATGTCAGATATTAAGAGACATAGACCATACGGAGGATAAAAATGTTTTCCTAATTAATTATGTACATGTGAAATACTTCAAGACGCTACCCTGTTGCCTGGAGTTTCTTCCATGGCTGATCCCTACTGACATTTTCGGAATATCTATGTTTCTTCCATAGGATCACGGTTTCATATATACAGAACTCATGCAGCATATCGTGTTTTTCCAAGTAACTTTTTTTTTTACCGCAGACGCATAGATGAAATTTTGGCCTGAACCAGAATTTTGTATTGTATTGCATTTAGAACTTGTTCATATCCGTTTTTGGACGATTTGACAAAATTCACTAAGGAGGCTATCAGATCCAAATGTAAATGTAAATCCTTCCAATAGATCGTATATATACCTGAACCTCTGTTATAATAAAAGAACTGCATTAATTCTTTTAAAATACATCGAAAGGTTTTATATTTTGCGAGGTTATAATATTTAATTAATTAGCTAAAAACTAACGGGTCTGGCACAGACTATTTCATTAGCAATTGGCAAGTGTATAACATCCTGAATAGACAAACGCTATACTGGATCTTATCATCAACTAGCTTAATTTAAGTTCACAAACTACAGCCCATTTGAAATTACAAGTTACTTATTAAAACCATCTTACTGTCACTTATCCGGGGCTTGCGTGATTAATAAGACGGGTTTTATATTTAACGTTAAAATTTACTGGACCTTTATACTCGTACAACTGGTTACAACAGTTCACAAATCACTATCTGATATAAAAGATTATTAACGTCGTCCAGTGTGATAGATAAATAATGCGTTATTAATCTTTCTTCCTTTACAAGTTTCGTTCACAGCGACCTCCTTCTGAAGATGGCCGCTACGACCGAAACTTGTAAAGGATGGAAGATTAAAAAAAAATAACATTTATCAATCACACTGGGCGGCGTTAATAATCTTTTATACTAGTACTGGTGCGACGAGCTAGGATGAACAAAGTCACTATCTGATACAATGTCATCTTCTTCCGACTGGTCACTCCACGGGAACTATTCTGACTTCCAACTGGACCCCGTTATACTCCGCTGTACTCTTTTAATTCTGATCTCAAGTACGACCGACTATGGCCTCTTGTAACTCTTCGGCACGGACCCCACAGAAAACACCGTCTCTATTGTAAAGAATACTTGTTTATTTGTCCTTTACCTAGCAGTTGATTTCCTTCTATTGTTGAGAGCGTATGCTTCGGGAATATGTTTACCGAGGCGTTGCCTAGCACTGGGCATATGCTTCACAATATATATTTATTTCAATGTGCACATATATTATACTTAACTGTAATTACGAATAGTATCTGATAATGAAGATAGAGCTGCACAGAACTAGGTATAGAATAGCCTCTGTGTTACTATACTACAAAACTAACTACAGTGGTCTACACACTCGGAATCGTGTCACTGACCTTTTTGCAGGAAAGAATCATTCTATTGCACCATTTCATAACATTACATTTTATATAATTTAAATTAATTCTGTGTGAGTGACAGGTGTTTGGGCTACGTGTAGAATGAAATTAATACAGAGTTGATTACACATCTGGACAGGGGAAGTACGTAACAGCAATTACACTGATAAACCAAGGACACTAAATTAGGTGCTCGGTTTGCTTCATTAGAGGGTTATAATGTACATAGCATGTACAGTAATCCTTAGTCACTAAATCCATCTTCTGTGATGAATTAGGAGAAGTTCTAACAATGGAAATATCAAACAAGGTCTAATTGCACTCGGTATGTGGATCAGTATCTGAGGGTACAAATGATTTCCACTTACTCAGTACATTACAGCAACACACCATACAC